AAGCTGCACTAGTGGGATCTGCTTCAAAGAACAAGTACTTAGTGGATAAGTACATGTATTACTGGACTGTAGTACCAAAACAAAACAGCATCTATTACCAGAATTATTGATGAAATTTAAAATAATAACACAGGGTCGTATATTAGATGCGATTAATGGGGCTGAGATTAATGTGCCGGAAGTTAACAGAAACGAAACAGCTGCTAGCTGCAGTCAGTTCGATTGGAGAAGATGGAGAGCTTTTTGCATTGAAACTTAAAACAAAAAGAGGAGCGGCATACAGCGGAGAACTGTGCAGAAGAGTTTCTCCACGGGTCAAACAGAAGGGGGATCAGTGGCAAACGGACCACTTAAAGCATCGCTATGCTAAGCTCGCTGCTAAGTCTACGTTGCACTGCGTGGCACACAGGCTGCAGAGGACTACCAATGTGTCCCTAAAAGTGTTTTGAAAATGTGAAGTCTAAATGTGGGGAGATTGCAACACAACCATGAAATGATGGAGAGTTGAGAGCACAGAAAGGTGAACGAGGACAGCAGGTCGAGTGGATAGTTCAACATATTCCACCTGATGAAATTCTTCCTCCAAGATGATCAAATGTGTGTAGTTGTGTTTCAAATGACATTAACAGTTAAACAACAGTGTCTATACCCAAGTCATTACTTGTTATTTAGATTTAGTCTTTAAAAATAAAACAAGCATTCATTGACAACAACATCATTCATTAATCGCGATTAATACATTTCAAAAAGAGCGATTAATTTGTGCATTTTTTTTAATCTATCAACAGCCCTCATATGTAGTTATATATATTATAATGAATGTTCCAATAGAACTCCACACTGAGCTCGTCCTCCTCACCTCAGCGATGTTGTCTGGTCTCTTTCCAGGGAAAAAGCTTCGTGAGGACCTTTTTCTTCTGGACAGAAGAATGAATAAACAAACAAATGGTCAAATCAAGTGATTCAACGACTGCGTGAATGTAACATCCACATCTGCATTTTATCACAGTGAAGCTGAACCACTTACCTGATCAAAAGTAAGGCAGCGAGGATCATGATCACCAGTAAAATAGCAGATGTGGATGCAACAGCTGCTGTCGACCATGGAGGGCCTTCTTTTCCAACACAGGAAAGAAGACCAATAAAAAATATAACGTATTAAAATATGGAGGGTGGAATGAAGGAGTGACCAACAGAATGAAAATAACATCTTTAACACAGTTTAACAGAATATCTGGGACCTTAAGATCTGCTCTATGCAGATGATGAACTTTAACTCAACACCTAAAAGTACTATAACACTCGAAGCTGACTAGTTAGCATGCTAGCTAATTGTTGTATTGCTAATAGAGCATTCTATTTGTTCCATACTTTCTTACCGAACTGCTCCTTAAATTGATGAACCGAGGGTTCAGGGTTTGAATCTCAGTGGGGTCATAGTGTATCTGCTCAGGTTCACCTTCTATTCCCACAATGCTCTCCTGCTTCACCGAGTGGAGGACAGGAGCGAAAGGCAGTGTTTTGAGTCACTTTTTAAGTTGGGTTGTGGATACAACGTGTGAGAAAATAGACAAATAAGAAGAGGCGGCTGGCCAATAGAGGGATATGGGGCCTGGCCCCACCTTCAGCCACAATTTTTTTAAATTATATTAATAATACATTTTACCCAGCAATATTTATAAAATAAGATAT